CCATTGTTGTTGTCACCCAAGCGCGCTTTGGTGACGTGGTTGATAACGTTAATGTTGATCATCTGTCCATCATCGTATAAAGCCCGCCCTGACAATTTGATTGGCCCGCCAGATTTTGTGCCAGCATACTCGCGCTAATATAGAGCAATGCCAGACCAAACTTCCCGACCTCAAAAGTTGTGGGCGGGACTAAGTTCGGAATGGCACCCAGGCTATAGATCAGGGGTGTCAAAGTGGTTCCAGAAAGGGCCGTGTGGCTGCAGGGTTTTTTTCCAACCAAGCAATATCACACCAGACTCCAGTCCTCTAATCAAGTAAGTCCAATCTGAACATGATGACTTCATGAGATGAATGAGTCTGATGTGCTATTGCTTGGCTGGAAAGAAAACCTGCAGCCACACGGCCCTTTCTGGAACCACTTTGACACCCCTGCTATAGATTGATCACACTGAGAAGCAAACTTTCAGGTGACTTTTTTGTACTTGAAATGTACCTGATTGGTGTAAATGTGTAAAAAATTTTCTATTCTGACTCTAGGCGGTAGCACTTTCCTTTCCTTTGCTTTGTCTTGTCCTTTCTGAGCCCTCTCTTCATATCACCCTAATTTAAAACAATGGATCTTGTCAGCTGGTCTCTCAATGCAATTGATCAAATTTTCCCAACTGGAAGACAGAGAAAGGGGACCCTTCTAGTCCTGCTGGGACATACCTCGTGGGGTACACCATGGACTCCTGGAAGGCTTGGAGGATGGATAGTTTTTCAATGTTGTCAGTAGAGGATGTCGAAAATGCATGGATTATCGGATTTATGATACTCGAATTTCTCCTGTTTGGATTTGGAGGATACCTGATGCATCTAAAACTACAGAGGATGTCGGCAGGAGTTGACACGCTCACAAACGCTGTGAACGAGCAGGACCGTGAGCTTAGCCATATGTTGGGTGCGATTGAACACAGACTTGCTGCAGTGGTTGAACTAAAAGATGAGAAGGGATAATATCTTGGATGTGCACGCTGGCTTCAAGGCAGAAATGCCCAAGAAATGTGTAATATTGGATTCGCAATGTGAAGCCATCAAGAAAAGACCCAAGGCTGATAGTAAATTTTGTGTAGCCTGCTCTAGAAACAGAAAGCGTTATTTTTGATTCAGCCTCCCCCTTGTCAAAACTCCCCTGGATGTTATGGCGGAAGGGCCCAGAACTACAGGCTCCCCTCCCCCTACCTTGGCCTGTATTCAGCGTTCATTGACAAACTGAACGCACTCATAACACACGCACACAACTGATTCTCAAATGTCAGACTGACTTTCATGTAGCTCCAGCTTCCGATGTTTTCCTTCTGCTGAAATGTTTCGCTCGTGATACATGTGCTTTTTTGTGCTGAGGTGTTTTTTTTTTATATCTCAAACTGTATACTGTCAAGGATAAAGTGTGAAATATGCTTTTTTTTTTTCCTCTCCCTCCCCAATGTGGCTCTTATCTTTCCACAGGGATAATGATCGCGCAATAAGGGAACCGCCTTACGATGGGGCCGTAAGAACATGCCAACGGCAGCATTCTGCAGCGCACCTGGCCCCAGTAAATCTTTCCCCCTGCCAGGCCACCCCCATTGTATCTTATGTATGTGATGAACGGTTAGTACTGAAACTGAAATCTCGATTGCAGTGCAAAATATAGTTGACAATAAAGTGATTGATTGATTGATTCATTCATTCATTCCTTCAGTCATTGACTGTAAATGTGTATAAAATGTGCCGATAAATAATTTGACCTTTTACTGTCAATAATGTGTCGAAATCTTTAATACCCCGTATGAATTTCCCTGGTTTTTGACGGTGTTTCCTGGCCTAGCTCAATCCCATCTCTTTGGGATTTGTAGTTTTTTTTTGTTTGTTTGTTTTTGTTGATGTAACATTCGTATGAATTTAACCCTATTTCTTTGCTTAACACATCCTATTGGCTTGTGTTTACCAGGTCCCTTTACCTTTTTTCTCTTTTCTTCACATTTTGTATCACTATCTCTACCAATTTCTCCTTGCCTTTTCTATTTACTATCTCTCCCTCCTCTGTGGTCTATTGACCCTGAGTAACGGAGAAGATGACAAAGTGTGAAAGGTTTCCTCAGGGCTTTAAGTGACAGCAGCAAGCAGAACAGTCATCCAGATGGTGACTGGTCTCTGCTTTGCCAGAAGGCAGCAAACTGCTCAGGCTGAACTCAACAAAGAAACATAAACACTAGGAATTTATATAAGCACAGCAGCCAGTGTTGTAATTTTTAATCAGATCACAAAAATGCAGCAATCGGCATAAAAGATGTGTCATTTATTTAAGTGTAAACGTACCAATTTACTTTAAATACAGTTAGTACATTCATTCCCTTTTGTTTACTTAAGTTGAGGGGACCACTTCATTTGAAACTGCCCAAGGTAAAGTTTACAGACCAGCTTCCATTCATAAATTACTATGCAGTGTTTGTTCATCTTGTGTTTAAGTCAGACATGGTAAAAACAAAAATGATTGCGACAACAGATATTACACTGATCTCATGCCAGAAACATGACTGTGCACATTTAAAGCACACAGGCAAGGTGAGGTAAAGGTAAGGCAAACAGATTTATCATCAAACACCACACTGTAAAATACAAAAGCTTTCCAGAATTACTCAAACCTCTTAGATTTGAAAGTGAAATAATTGTATATGGAGTTAAGATAACTAGTAACAATAACTACAATCCAGTTCAGAGGGTGGTGGCAATGGCCACTTAGAAAAAGCCACTCCCACTACCTATTAGTGGAAGAGGGAGTAGGCAATGCTCCATTCTTACCAATCCAACAGGTCAGGACACTTAGAGTAGCCATTTCTTCTCTTAGATTTTGTTTTCAAGAATATTAAGGTAAGTCATCAAAAAAGTATGTTAATTTATATTTTATTTACAGCCATAGCTGGTAATGTGTCAGCTTGAATTTTTAGCTGAGCTGTGGATCTCAAAGAAAATTGATCCAGCTTATCTAAATTTTTTTGTTAAAATGTTGTTGCTCAAAATATTTTACAATTGGTTTGATTTGTATGACGAGTCAGGCTGCAGCTAGCATTTGTGTGCTTTGGTCACAGCTCACAGGTCACTTTTGCCAGTATTTGTATTATCTCTTTATTATGGACAACTAACAAAAGCAGGGGCTAGTCAGTAAATCTATTTATGAATCAGTAAAGTGACTCAACAAAATTTGAACAATTTGTTCAGGACTTGTTTTGTTTGTTTTCAGTTAAAAGTGCTGATTTCTGTGACTGTGTTAAACAAGTCAGCTCTCACCTTAAGTTCCTACATCCATCATGGCTGATAGCTTTAACAAAATTAATGTATGAAACAAACTAACACTTTCTGAAAGTTTACCAGCAGCTTAAATATAGGCAAGGAACATGTTGTGGAAAATCAGGTTAGGAAGGCTGTCACTCCAGATGGCATAATTTCAAGGCTCTCTGGTTCAAGATACTTTAGAATCCACTATTATTCCTAAAAACTTTGCTTCTTTCAATCTATTTAGTTGGTAGGTTAAACAAATATGTTATTTGTAGGGAATGTTTTGAACCTATCGTGCATTTAGGGCATTTAGGTTTTTCCAGTATTAATCAGTAGTTTGTTGGATCAAATCTATTTTACAACAATGCCAGTTCCTTATTTCAAATTGTTTTCAACTGACATGCTGTTTGTGCAGATGCAAATAATGTGTTGGCATAACACATATCATCTGTAAATTGTTGCCCCTGGATGATAATTGACCTGGAGAAACATGGGAATACTGTAAAAATCATGTTCCTTGATTTTTCTAGTGCTTTCAATACCATCCAACCACTAGTTCTAAATCAAAAGCTGGAGTGTAGTGAATACTGGATTACCTTACTGGTCGACTGCAGTATGTGAGGACAAACGGTTGCCTCTCTAACAGGTTGGTGTGCGCTACAGGTGCTCCACAAAGAACTGTGCTAGCACTGTTTCTGTCCACCCTCTATACTGCAGACTTCTCCATCAGCTCCCCTGGTTGCTACCTTTAGAACTTCTCTGATCACTCTGCCATTGTTGGACTTGGAGATGAGGACAACCTAAAAGAACAGACAGCGGATACAGAGCTTTTGTAGACATGTGTCAGCAACACTATCTACCGTTGAATTCAGGGAAAACAAAGGAGTTGGAGGCAGACTTTCGCAGTAACAAAACCTTACTGACACCAGTAAGCATCCAAGTAATTGACGTTGAGATGCTAAGCTCTTATAAGTATTGGACTGTTGACTAAAACAATAAACTGGACTGGAGTCAAAACAGCGATGCTCTTAACAACAAAGGTCAGAGCAGACTGTACCTGCTGAGGAGACTGAGGTCTTTTGGAGTGCAGGGGGCGCTCCTCAAGACCTTCTTTATGGTCTATGGTGGCATCAGCCATCTTCTATGGTGTTGGGAAGCAGTTGGATAAACTCATCAGGAGGGCCAGCTCTATCCTAGAATGCCCCTGGACACGGTGCAGAAAGTGAGAAAAAGAAGGACTGTAAGAGAAATTACAGCACTGTTGGACAATTGGACAGAGCTAGCAGTGTTTCAGTGACACACTACTTGACCCAAGATACTAAGCAGAGTGCTTGAGCAGGTCCTTCCTCCCAACTGCTGTGAGGGTTTTTAATCTGCTACTCCCAATAAACTCCATAAATGTTACTGGTTACAACGTTTCTATTTCTGATCAAGAATCACTTACATTCTTTCTCAGATCTTTATAATTCCTCTCAGATGTCAATTTCCATTTGCAGACCTTTTTTAACTTCTCTGGGAGTTTTTGTTTGTACAATTAGGCATAATATATCTTCTGTAAATACATTATATCTATCTGTTGTATTGCATTTTCAACAGAATATTTTGTATTATCAATTATTATTTGCACAAGAGGTTTTTTATTTAAGTTATTTCTCTTCTTCTTTACAGTGTAACATTTAATTAGCTGTGCTGTACAAGTATTGTTTTTGGATTGTAAATGTTATTGATAATTATAATTGGAATTTATAGTCAATAACCAATCCTTCTGATCAAGATTGATCAATTAAGAAAGATATTATAGATAAATATGATTATGGCTACCAGCCTTTACAGTTATAATAAAAAATATGGATTATCAATTGACAATTACAATATAAATGTATCGTTAAATGGCACTAACTGAGCTAGACGTCTTAACCGAACATCCCTCACTATGGCTGAACCAAGCAGGGGTTACAAGCGCAGGGGGAGGGGGTCTTCAGACCGTAGGCTAACAAACCTTCCTGGAAGCTATGAGATCAACCAGTGAGAGACAGAAGGAGCGACAAAACTGAAATAGTTTAACATAGATGACTGGCTATGCAGTTTTTTTACATATCAATATATTTAGCCAGAGCTTCCCTCATACATAAAACACTCCTCCATCATCCTTTTCCCAAAAACTCACCACAGTGTTACAGACGCTGCAGCCTATAAATCCATGGAATATCTAGTATTCAAGCATCTGAAGGAAATCACCGGCTCCGTGTTTGATCCTTTAGTTAGTACCTTGGTAATTGGGTTGACCAAAGAGCTGACCTATGCCAGCATTTGTCATTTTGATCTCAGCACTTATTATTAGTGTTTTGCTTTTATTGGTTGTGTGTATGATCTTGTTTAAGCTGTTTCAAAACCAGGGATTCTATCATCAGAAACATGCAGATTTGTCTATCTTAAAATGATGTCTGATACATTTATTATCACCATTAGCCTGAGCGGCCTCTCTCTCATTTTCTCTCCATCTCTTTCAAAACATACACACTGTACACACACACACCCATGCACCAATTACCATACATAGAGTAATAAAAAGGGTGATTATATTGTATGCATATGAAATAAAAGTGAGTTAGTGTTAAAATAAATTGCACAAAATTATTTGGCAACATAAAAAGTCTATATGCCTTACATATAAATAAATAAAAATAAATGTTATAGTTTAATGGTGCTTTTTTGGGAGGTTTGAAGTCACTGCCTGTACTAAAACAAAAGTTTAAAAAAAACCCTGCCTCTTATAACCAAGTTAAGCAAAAATAACAACACACACACAGACAAAAAAAAACATTGGTGCCCTGATTTGTGGGTACAGGGCTTAGAAAATATGCCATGCTGTGAGCTTTCCTCAGGGTAAGTATGTTACACTCATATCATAGCTTAAAAAGAATCACCCTGCCTTTTTTCTTCTTGCAGATAGCAACAGCAAAACATGGTGTCTTAAGAGTATCAGCTAAAAGAAAGGTCATTACAGCAGAGATGGCAAAAGTACTCACTTTCCGTACTTGAGTAAAAGTTCAGATACTTGTGTTAAAAAATACTCTGGTAAAAGTGGAAGTACTGATTAAACTTCTTTACTCAAGTAAAAGTAACAAAGTACAGGCTTATAAATTTACTTAAAGTATAAAATTAAAAGTAGAAACCACTTTTTTCATGCCGTTGCCTACATTTTAAATGGATGTCTGCAAATAGGACTAGATCTCCGTTGTGTTCATTTTCAATCATCTCGTCGTCCATACTACTATGCTAACGCCACCGCCACCAAGCTGCAATGATTTGCAGCGAATGAATACCGCCGAATCTGTCGATTCATCTTGTAGTGGTGCGTCAAATGCAACTTGGATTCCCATCCAATTAGATTGAATTTGGTATTGATGACGTGAAAAATAATAACAGTAACTCCATTGAAATGATTCAAAACTAAAGTAACGAGCCAATTTTTTTTAAATGTAAGGAGTAGAAAGTACAGATATTTGTGTAAAAATGTAAGGAGTAGAAGTAAAAAGTCGCCATAAAAATAAGTAGTAAAGTAAAGTAAAAATATCAGAAAAATCTACTTGAGTACAGTAACGAAGTATTTGTACTTCGTTACTTACCATCTCTGCATTACAGTAATACAATGGCAAAGCAAGTTTATTTCTTAGCACATTACAGGAACAGGTGCTCAAAGTTGGCTTGCCATTCATGCTGTTAAATACGGAGTGGTCCTTCATTTAGCAGATAAATGTGGAGCTCCATAATAAGCCAAAAAGCAATGTTTCTTTCCATATTTTGTTAAGAAATGTCCCATACACAAATGTGTCTCACGCACAGATTAACACAGAATCTAAAAATAATGAACAAATCAAAGGCAGTGAATATTATGATTAGAAAAGTAAAGTGGGGAGAACAAAGCAGGACCTCACCAGCCTGGCAAAATGAGGACTTGACAGGAACCTCCTCAATATCAAGCTCTCTATCAGCTCATAAAAACTTGCATTTAGGTCAAAGGGACTTACAGGAGGGTTTATTAAGGTTCTTAAAGTTATAACACTAGAACAGTGTGCTCTTTGTAAAAATTATTTCACAAAGAGCACAATAATTTAAGTCTAAACAGCTTTCTGTATATTCCATGGCAATATGTTTATATTAAAGAGGAATACAGTACAGTGTTCAGGGATCGTTGTATGAAGAATCGGGAAGTGCAAACAAAATGTTTGAGATGAGTCTTTAGGTTGTATGGCTCCTATAGAACAGTAACAACATTTAGTGGAGAAAATCTTTATTATTAAGGGTATCTTCAAAATGTGCTTTATTGCTCTCCACAAAAACAAAATACTAATGTTGGTGCTACTTTCATATAGTGGATAAAATAGTATCACTTTAACTACTCTAAGTTAATTTTTCTATGAGTAATTTGTGTGCCTTTGGCACTTTATTATTTTTTATTGTTTGATAAATATGATGCATGGAATGGTAATTTAACATTACTCTCTATATAGCAATAATTCACAGCATGTTTTATTTCAATTCATTTCATGGTAACGCCACATAAACAATGATTCATTTCTAAGCAACCACCTTTAGTTGCTGTATTAGTCACTTGTCAGTTTCAGTCTCTTACATCAGTTGTAGCAAAAATTTGTTTTTCTATTTCTTTTATATGATTCTAAAGAATTATAATTTTGTTTATTTATTTATATTTACATTTCTCCTCAGGACTGGTCTTGGGTTCAGGTCTGATTTTTGGTTGAACTTACATTGATTATTTTCTTTGCTTACCCATTTATTTTGAAATCTGAGAATCTTTTTTAGAGCAATTGCTGAATCCATATTCAAGCAGAATTAAAGTTTAGTTACTGAAAAAATATGTGCCAACATTTCTAGTTGCCAACTAGTCTACAACACATCAGAAATGTTTTTGTAAAGATGCTGTTGTGGTGTCAGATAATAGGGTATAGCATTTTGTTGACTATGATAGCAATGTCAAGTTTCCACTTAGAATTCAGGGGCAAGAGGAGCCCCTTTAAAAAAAAGCATTGACCCCTCAAATAGAATCTGCCAAAAAGCAGATATAGTCTCATGTGCTCCTTGCATTGTTGTGTTTTTAACTCTCTGTAGTCAGATGGCACCATTCCATATCTCCCCTAGTAAAATCTATCTATCCAAGATCTATCCAATTTGATTTGGCTGAAACATATGTAAACAAAAGTGTCATGATCTGGCCTGTTTGCTCTCCCTTAATTAGTCATTCCTTTCACCTGTCGTTTTTTCCCT